CATTGAAAAAAGCAGGCTATTGTTTTCAGTATCTTGCATCTTGTTTTATATTTTTCCATCATAGAGGAATACATGTAGTGTACACAATGATTTGAACATTGTTGAATAATTCTGTAAACTGCGAATATGTAATACAACTTTTTCATCAGTTCAAAAGCCTCAGTATTATTGAATTAATTGAGCATTGCAGTAATTCCTGATTGAACATCTGATTCCTCGCAGGGTGCCTAACTGTAACCACAAGGTGATGGTGAGCTTGTGATAAAATTCAATTTAACACAAAATGTGCTGTTGTTTGACACCTTTTCTGCTTTAACCTTCTTTCAGAAAGTACGATCATTTTGGCTGTTTTGTACATACAAAATGCAATACCTCATTAATAATTAATGATGTTTAAACATAGGACATCATGACCGTGTTGGTGTTTGGATATCTGATCTTATTAACATAGATTTTTACCACTTTATTTCTCCATTTTCCCCTTAGTTTTAGTTTCAATTCAGAAGATATATCAAACACTCAAGACAGCATTTGACCACATTTCTTAACACCTCGAAGTTCGTCAAAAATACTCTGCTGCGCATCATATTTTCAACTCTCTTCTCAGTGTTTGGAAATGTGGTCAAACATGGTCTTACATGATTGATACACTACTTCCATACTACTATTGATTAAAAAAAAACATGACACAATGGGAACAGAGTAACCATAATGGAATGTGGACAATAATGATGTCAGCAGGTAAAGCAGACAGAGAGATAGTCCTTGTGATTTTAGATCTGCAATTGAACATTTTCAAAAAGAGAAATTTTTTAACAAGGATTTCACTGCACAATTAAGCCTGTTGTAGCTTGGAAAATAGTCCAGACCTTTTCCAGACCTTTTTCATTAATTAAAGACTACATCTTTATTTTCTATACTTTCTCCAGATCAGGTAAACTACAGGTGACACTCTCTACAGTGGCTACATTGGGATAGAAATAGCTGACCACAGTTAAGCATACTGACCACAGTTGTCATTCTGCACGGTCTCAATATCATATTTCCTTCTTTTAACAGTAGTCTCCATAAACTTTTGTTTCTCTCTCAAAACAGGAAGATTAGGACAAAGGTGAGGAAGGAAGAAAGTAGCTGCACCCTCATCAAAGAAAGTGTTGCCTATAGCATCATCTCTAATGGCCCACAACACCTGGCAGCCATGCATTTCATATCTGAAAGCAAACACAAGTCTTTTTAAGCAAACTTGAGCAGTAAATTAACAAGTTAACTAAGGTAGCTTTTTATCAACAACAATTTTATTGAGCTTTCATTTAATATGTTTGTCTTACATGATCACACCATGTGCTGCAAACAGGGCAACAAGTAAATGTACACCCACATGCAGTTTGCAATGATTATGTTACAGACAAAACATGGTGTTCACAATGGTATCACATAGTATGTCATCAATCTGCGATATCCCCATGTAAATGTTGTTGTGTGATTATTTGTTTTAGCAAAAGAGACAGACTTTCCACAAGTCAACATCTTCTAAGCGATGAACAGGAATGACAAAGTGTTATAAGAAGCAATAAAGTTGTGAGAAGTCAATTTCACTTCACACCCATATTTTGCATCAACAATGATGACAATGAAATTCACTTGTGTAGGCAAGACGACTGCCTGTGCAAGTTTGCATTTGAATGTTGTTGCCATGAACATATGGCTGTGAAGTCATGGTTAAGTTGGTAAGTCAACTGCTCCAGACATGGGACCAGTGATAAGAAGCAGTATTGAATTATTTTGCAAGCCTTGTGTAAATAATATATGCTAGATAAAAAAGGGCTCAAAATTGCTGCTTTCCTGTGTAAGTCTGTTTTACTGTTTTATTGTTAGTATGAGAGCAAGTCATCATGCCACTTGTGTTAAAGCTTGGAAGCAACAAATGTTGTGTTGAACTCTTCCTTTTCTACCTCATGTCCATGTGACCAAAGCCACGTAGACACAAGGATATGGAGTGAGTTAGGTACATTCCTGTGTAAGACAGGAATGTACCTAATGTACACGTGGTTCAGGCAACTTGCAGGTTAATCAATTTTGGCTACCAAGGACAGGTATGAAACCAACCATGAATTGACAGCGTTTGGTTCGAATTCACCCACGCTGTAAAGATTCAAGACAATGTTAAATTATTTTTTTACCGGGACTGGGATGTAGACCCTATAGACTTGAGCATTTGTAGCCATTTGTGACAGGCCATTTTTAGCATTACTTTTATTTTGTTAGTGTCAGAGGCCTCTGTTCATGCAATTCGCTTGGGTTTAAATCAAATTTGACAACAAATTACAAGCTTAAAACATTGAAGTGATGGGTTTCAGTCATGCAGAAAAATCCAAAGATGACAACAAGTGGATTAAAAACTAACCTCCAAAGTGCATTTTCTGCAAATAAACAAACAGGTATAACTCACAAAAATTAATCATTAGGTCTACGATCAATATATCACTGTATATATACCACCATGGGTCAGATCAGGGCATCACGCCAGATGGAATATTTTTGCATTGATTTTGTAATGCTACCAGAAGTGTATCGCTTGCCTTCTGTTTACTTTGCACAAGAGTAGTCTGTACATTATTCTCACTAACTGGTTGTCGATTCCTTTGATATCAATATCATTTCAATCCATGAAATAAAGCAACAAACAACAGATGTAAGCTTAAAATTGTCTTAAATACAGAGCTGCACAAATGTCCTGAAATGGAAGACATCTGTGACAATCTGTTTTAAGAAACCCTTTTGATGAAGGGTTGTAAATACTGAAGTCTCACTAAATGAAAACGAATTAATGGAAGTGAAAATGCACATGTATCCTGTCTACTTGATCAAGCATTATGTTTGCCTTACACTTGTTTGGGTTGACAGTGGATTTCTTTGCACTAAACAAGTGACACAAGACAGCCCAGCCATAAGGCCTTTGATTTACTAGTTTTGACATTGCCATTTCATGCATCAGTGAGTATAATTTCAGTCAGTGAATGACAGAGCATAAGACGTTGAAATGGGGTGTCTTGAAAACTCAGACCTTGAAACCTCAGACCACAGACATTAGAACTCAAAAACTCAGAACCCTTAAGAACCTGGATTGAGTAGGAATCATTATATGTATTGCTAATGTTTCAAGTAACGAAATATCCCTGAGCAATAAAATTCTAGTCATGCAGTCACCCTGAACAAACTGCAGGGTCTTGGAGTGATGAATGGCAAACATGAGTGGTTTAGAAATTACCTACAGTAGTGCACCCGAATTGTAGAATTTCAGGGTGTGTCTACTGCTGCTGAACCTGTATCTGTTGAAGTTCCACAGGGGTCAATTTTAGGGTCACTGTTATTTATACTCCACCTGAATGATCTTCCCAGTGCGGTGGTGGAGTGCAGTATTCTCATTCTCATCTCATCATAATGTAGAATTTTTCTCAGCTCCTGAAGTATCTGCTATCCGGGCTACTTTAGTGAAGGAGCTGCATGCCATTGAATGTTGGCTTCACTTAAATAGTTTATTTATTAACATAACTAAGACTGAGGCAATGTTGTTTGGGACTCTGCAGAAACTTGCTAAGATAAATCAGTTCTCAGTCACTATCAATGGGTCTGCCATAAAGTGCATTACTGAGTTTCAATATTTGGATGTTATCTTTGATTAACACCTCAGCTGGAATGAACATGTTACAGCTATTGTTTCTAAGGCTGGTAGATGGGGTTGGTATGCTAGGTTGTGCACGGTGCTACATCACATTACATAGTGCTAATGGCATTTATATTTCAATGATTAGACCCATATTAGAGTATTACGCTAGGGCCTGGGCGTGTTGTGGGGAAGTAAACAGCAGAACTTTAGAAGCTCTGCAGAAGCGAGTAGGAAGAATAGTAATAAAGACATCTAGCAGTGACACTGCTATGGAACTTTAAAATGGCCAAGCCTTAGGACCAGGCACGATGAACATATCCTTAAGCTTGTGAGGAAATGCATAGATGGTCAGTGTTTACAATACGGCATCGGTGTTTACGGTTGTTTACAATAAGTATATTAATGCTCGCCCAACCCAGCAGAGTAATGTTTTACATCTGCCTGCAATAAGAATGGAGACAGCCAGGAGATCTTTTTATTATCATGGAAGTACGGTTTTTCATAAATACTCTAAATGTACTTAAATTTGAAGATTTTACTATGGTAGTTATAGGCTTTTGATATTTGTTGTAATATACTTTCCTATATTTATGTTGTTACTTTTGTATATATCCTATTATTGTGTAATCTACGTTAGGTAATAGCATCAGGGCTCCTATTGATAGCGCAGATGCTTTGTAAGCTCCCTGAAGAGACTACTCTGAAATTTTTACCTTTAGATTTTTACCTTTAAATAAAGGTGTCTATCTATCTATCTACCCTACATGAGAAATGAATTTCATTGGCTACCAGTGAGTTGCAATTTTGAGCCCCGAAAAATCTCTCACATCACGCTTTGAATGGCTGATAAAAATATACAAAAGCAATGCAACTAGAGAAGATATTTTGTGTCACGTGAAAGAAAAATGACCCACAAACCTATAGCATAACCTTAAATAAACATCCACCACCCTTGTAGACAGTAGTTTCAGTCTTTTTAACCCCCAAACCATTAAACAATTTGACATACTTTATAGTTTTCTGAAGTTAGGTTCTTATTACTTACTTGTTAATAAAATAACACAGAACTGACCAAGCCATATAAAACTTGATGTTTTATTGAGGTGGCCTCCCCTATTAGCCTGGTGGTTTTTCTGAGAGTCTCCTCACCCTGTCTAAGCTAATGGAATTAATAAATACTTCATGTGAGGCATTAAATGATGATGATGATGATGACGATGGTCACGATAAATATCTTTGAACTTACACAAGTTCCAATGCTATTCCCCCATTGCCAACAATTACCACTCTGCGAGCTTTTGAAAGCCTACTTTTCAGTTGCTGCACACTCTCTGTGTCACGGATGCCAATGACGTGAGGATGTTCAGTGATGATGTTTGGTCTTCCTCCTGTGCAGATACACAGTTTCTTGTAAAAATATGTGTTGCCCATCTCAGTACCAACACTGTGTTCTGAACAAATAAACGCAATCAATAATATAATGAATGGCTGCCAACTATAAAACCCACTGCAAATGGTTCAAGTGTCAATATGTGTCAATAGCCCCAGGAAGATGACAGGCACGAAGAAGTCTTCTGTCAAGTTCCGCCCTTGACCCACTTGGTATGAGACATTTCATAATCAGAACTGTGTTTGTGTGTAAAACATTGTAAATCCTGTTGCCAATTAATAGTTACCGAGTTTTCGCTTCTTTAGTTCGAAGTGCACAAACATTACTAGTCATGAGAATTGTTAAGCGGTAGCGTTAATCGTGTCAATACTTTTTATTTCTATGATGCAGCTCAGCACAGAACGTGAAACCACTCTATTGTGGCGCGTTGGAGGGCCATTTACTGAGCCTTTCTTAGTTGTCGGTGTGTTATGCCATGTGTTGTCCGCTATTTTATGTCGTCCACTGTGTTTTTTTGGTTGTTTGTAGTCGTTATTTGTTTGTTTTCTGTTTTGGCTCGCGTTCACAAGTATGCTAATTTTGCCAATCCTATAGACTGCAAAACAGTCGTTTTCGGACATTTTCAGAAGGCACGAAGCGCCGTAAGTGTGATCCTCGCATGTGAAGCGCGCGAGCCTCACACGTCCATAGGGCATGTGAGGCAAGAAAACAACTGTCGGCTTTTCATAC